TTTTCTTGCTTGTGTTGGGACCACTTTTTCCAGTCTATCCAGATTATTCTGGATCCTAACCCTGCCCTCCAGAGTGTTTCCAACTCCACCTTAACTAGGTGTCATCTAAGCATGCATTCAGTCCTATCATCCAAATAATGAATAAAGATACTAGACACTAAAGGACCTAGGACAGACCCCTAGGGAACCCCACTGGATCCCTTCTCCCAAATAGGCACAGAGCTATTGATGTTAAGTCACTGAGCCCAACCAGTATGTATCCACCTTAGCGGACTGGATTAAAGTACTGTATGATAGATATTCAGCTAATATAACAGGAATGGGGTATATCCTGGCCTGTTATTGGGGCAATGTGATTTTTCTGCTGGAAGCCTGGGGAAATTATTCCATAAGGGAAACTTTAATATTTATGTAGAGACAGTTCACTGTTCTGACTACAGGTATGCATTTTACTTTCTCTCAATGTGGAGTCAGTCTGGAAATTCATGCAGAATAAAAAGTGGAGCTGGTTGGGAAACAGTGTTCCCATCCTGGGAAATTTTGGGAGTTCAAACATTTTCCCTCTTGAAGTAGGACAAAAATGAGTTTTCAGGGGAAAAATGTGAGCAGGTAATTGGATAATGGAAGACTTTTTGAAACTGAGTTCATTTGAAATGAAACATGTCATTGTGTTCAGAACTCAAATATTTTGGTTTTAGCTTTTTCAAGTTTAACTTCTACTATAATTATGTAAATTTCAGAACAAAAATATTTTTGAATTAAAAATATTTAAGAGTTAAAACAAAATGTTTTAGCAAGTTTGCATTTTCTTTTAAATCAAAACATTTGGTGAAACACTCTTTTCTACAAGCAATTTAAATTTCAAGAATATTGGCATTTTCCCAACAAAATGCTTTTTTTTAAAAAAAAAAAGTTCCTAGACAGCTTTTGTGAAAATTACCTTATCACTAAAAATTTACATGCATTTATTCATGGAAATAATGAACAATGTGCTTCTACTAGTTGGGTCAAAATCATTTATTACATCACAGACAAATGAGGTGCTTTTAATTAATGTAAAAGATGTCCCTGCTCTGTGGAGTTAATGCTAACGGGGAAGGAAGGAAAGAAAAAAGTGTACTAAATTAAACTGTGCAGTTAACTAGCAAGCACAGACAAGCTATTGTTGCATATGTACATTTTAGGACAGATATTATGCAATATTTCACATATGCAGTATTTTACAGGAACCACAACATTTCACCTAACGAGCACACCTGCAACTGCTTTCATGTGGGACAGTGCTCTCATTTAGAAGTCGTTTTAAATTTTCAATGTTAAGGAAAATAAAAATGGAAATTGGTTGATAGAAAATTGTTTAGTTTGCATGTTATAAGATGGTGGTTCCATATTATTCTAAAATGTCAAAATTCCCTTCTCTTTTTTTCCTCTTTAATGTGTCCAGGATCATATTCCTAGCTGCTGGAAGATGAGTAAAGTTTGCAGGAACTTTAATCAAAAATAGTGGGAGTGAGTGAGTGAGAGTGAGACAGAAGTTGCTGACACAGTCCTTGAAGAACTGCTTTACATACAGTTAAGGAAATAAGCTTACTACATCAGCTAAGCCCTAGATTAACTTCCAAAATAGTATAATAATAAGCTTCTGCTGCCTCACAAGGAGAGATTTTGATTGCTGAACTCTAAATAGTGTCTGGGTTAAGAGAAGTATTAAAAATGTCTCCATCTCCAGGCAGCTGTCCCTAGGAAGCACTAGTAGAGCTGAGCCAAAATACTTCCAGAGGCCCAGTTGAGTTTCCTCCTGAATAGCTCAAACAGGTGCAGAAGTCAGATCGCTTCTGCTGAGTACAGTTTTCCTATGTTTGTTTCCAATGAGTAGCTTGTGTCATACTATTCCAGATGTTGTTATCCTCAGCGTGACTTTGTGCAACTTCAGACATCTTGTACTAAATTAATCTAATAAAATTTTATAATAATAATTGCAATAGCAAATAACTTGCAGTCTCCTCCTGGAGTAGTAAAATAAGGTTATTCAATTGAACATTAATACCCCAGAACAAAAAAAATTAGTAATAGAAGTATTTTTGCTACCATTATTCTTATACCAAAACTGGTTTCAGCTGGAAACAAGCAGTTGAACTGGGAAGCTTTAGTCTCAGTTCTGCAAGCACTTAAGATGTCTGTACATGTGTGGGTAGGCTGCTCTGATGGTGCTGTAATTACAGCGCGTCAAAGCAGACTCGATTAATTGGAGTGTCTGTTAATCCAGTCTGCTGGAGCGTGCCAATTAGCGTGGTGGTGGGGGTGCTTTTAACTAAAGCTTGTTCAATGAGCTTTTAGTTAAAGTGC